AAAACCACTTTTGGTATTATTTCTCTATAGTTCAAGCAACCTCCCAAAATTAATCCACACAGCCAAGGTATTAAGAAATGGGTAGTACAAACCCAATGTATCCCTATCAATTGATTTTTACATTTGATTTCTTATGGTTACTTGGAGTTTGATTTCAAAGGGCTTGTGGTGATGGAATTCCCTTGCTTCTTAATGCTGCCTTGCAAAAAATCAAAAGGCCTAACAAACAAATCTTACTGATTTCACAGCCAGATTTATTTCTTCTGCCTGCTGGTAAATACAAAATAATTTGAAACTGTAGCATGAAGCTTGATCTTGTCCTTAATAATTCCTTAAATTCTGTGGAAGTTTTAGCAACAGACCCAGATCTTATCAAAGTGAGTGAGAGCTGTGTTTTTAATTAAGAAGCCTGTAATTAATAACAGAAAACTCAAAGGCTTTCTGATCATGCAGCAAACAATTTTTTTATCTAAGGGCCTGGATCTGTTGTTTATTTGTGGAATCTGTAAGTTCAGTTTTACACTTCATTAAGTCTGTTTAGGTACAGTCCTTAGCAATGTTGCGATGTACTTGGGAGCACAGGTCAGTTTTTCATTTCAAGGGAATCACATTCCTTTACAGTGAGAAATAATTTGATTCTCCAGAATCTCTACTGTGTGAATTATGAAGTAATAATGGTAATAGGCTTATAATAGTGCATTTTTGTCTGAAGGATGGGGGCGCAGTTTCAGGTATAGCACATATAAATTTTCAGTAACCATTTAATTTGTCTTTCGAACACAATGTATTAAGATTAATGGAATTTTTTTTAGTTTTATGCTACTATCTACCAGAATTTTCCTACTTCTCTTCAGTTTTCAAATAAGTCCACAACAAGTTTCTGACATCCTGCCTGATGTTCCACTTTTCTGTTTATCCTTTATCTCTTAGATACTATATTCCTCCACTTCCTTTCGAGAATTTGTTGATTTTGTGTTTGAAGAATTTTCTCAGATGAGATTTCATCTACACACTCCCACATCCATTTCTACGTGGAATGACAAATAAGCAGCATAGTGTTGTCATTATTAAGCAATAGTCAGTTCAAGAAATCAAGTCAGTTTAGTGCTACCATCACAGCTTTAAAATCTCTGAAAACAGATGTTGCAAAACAAAATCCAATGTAGGTAATAGCCCTAGGA